ATTTTAGGATTAGAGCAAAAAATAGGCTGAGCATATTGTAATTTTACGAAAAAAATATTGATATCCCTCGAAATGTCAGCCTACAAGTTTTTTATGATGTCGTTGGGAAATTGGAAAGTAGAATATATGGATCAAAATAGTTGGGGAACATCTTAATTGAAGATGTATACTAAAAGAAAAAGACTAGGACAAGCATTTGCAAAAACAGACAATTCTACACAAAAGAGAAGATTCCTCAGATAAACCACCAACTAAGTGTCGATTTGTGAAAGAAATTGATAAAATGCTGTATTTGGACTTTACTACAAATCATGCACAGGGACTTTAAGAAAGGTTGACAAAAACTATAATAATAACTTCAAGATATGGAGCAGAAGTATAGCAAGCATAAAATGTGACAAATGGATAAAAATAATGTAAACACCTTTTTATATTATATATATATATATATATATATATATATATATATATTAGGTTGTCAAATATCTCCCTTCCGCTTTTTTGCTCTTGGTTTATAATACAAAACGGCGGAAGGGAGATATTTGACAACCTATATATATATATATATATATATATATATATATATATATATATATAAAGGATGCTGCTTTTATGTCTATTCTTCCTAACAGTTTTAGAAAATTAAATTCCTTTATTCTGATTAAATTTCTCTGAAAACTAGTAAAACTGCTTCAAAAATGGTATTGTTTCCTTTAACTTCCTTTAATATTCTGTATGCATCTCAAAAATTTATAAGGTAGAAATTGCTTTCTAGTAAAAACAGGCTTAAATTTTACAAATTTAATTCAAAATATGAATTCAATTTGTATGTATATCATATCAAAATTATATAAAAATTTATTAAATTGTTATCTAATCCAAATAAATCATAGACAAGTAAATTTGAAAAAGTACTTTTATACGTTTTTGTCGACAACTTGTGTGAGTAATATTTTATATCAAAAACGAACATAAAACTAAAAAGTTGAAATTCACTTTAGCTGACCATAAAGGAATATTGTAAAATATTTATACGTATCAAAATCATTTTGAACAAAAAGGCAATAATTAAACAAAAATTATAAATATACACGTAAGAATATGGATATAAAAATAATTTTTGCCCTGAATAATTTAACTGCTAATGGACAATAAAATTAATTATAAGTTTGTAACGGTAATGTACGTCCATCATGTCTAATAAACAAGATTACAAATTTATTAATTTTGTCTCAATGTTCTCAAACAATAATATTAGATGTAAAATAATTCTATTCTAAAAGCATAAAATAACAAGTAGATAATTAATTGAAACTGTAATATTTCACAAATAATTGAAAACTTTTGAAGAAACAGCGTTTTCCGATGTTGTAGAGTACTTGAAAATTGATCCAATTAGCTCTATATTGAATAATTTAGAAACACGTCGCTTTCATATTACTTATAATTCACTGAAGTGTATATATTTATTTTGCAATTGTGCTCGTTATTTCTTTGATGATTATTTTACATTAATTAATAACGAGATGCCAATGAATTTAGTAATATTGATGGAGAATCAGTCCGGCATATAAAATAAATTTTCATAAAATATATATAAAATGATGTATAATTATAATTACAATTTTTTTAATTTAATTTCAAAATTAAACGAATTTACTATAAATTTATCTTTGTATAAAGGTAACGATAAAATATAGAATAGAATTCTATATCTCCTAAACGTTAATTAAAATACTGACAAATTTAACAATAACTTTTGAAAGAAAAAGCTCTTAGTGCAAAACTTGAAGGTCATAACTAATAATACAGTCTAAGAAACAAGTAAATTCAAATAATGCTGCTTTATATCGATCTGGCCGAGGTTGGATCTTTACCAGAAACTAAGGCTTGCTATCCCTTGTTCTTGTTCTCTACTTCTGGGACAGTTAAAAACAATCAATAGTAGTCGGAGGGGTCTAAAAATTTCAGTGGCGATTCATTAAAGTCATAATATATCTAGTTTTTGAACATAAGTCGAATCAGAGCAAGTTCGATTTTACCCGAAAAATTTTCCGATGGTCCCCCATTGCGAAAATTGTCGATTTTGTCAGATTGCTATAAAAAAAAAATAGTAGTCGGAGGGGTCTAAAAATTCAGTGGCGATTTGTTAAAGTTATAATATATGTACTTTTTGAGTATAAGTCGAATCAGAGCAACTTCGATTTTTACCCGAAAAAAATTCCAATGGTCCCCCCCATTGCGAAAATTGTCGATTTTGTCAGATTGCTATAAAATAAAAACTAGTAGTCGGAGGGGTCTAAAAATTCAGTGGCGATTTGTTAAAGTCATAATATATGTACTTTTAGAATATAAGTCGAATCAGAGCAACTTCGATTTTTACCCGAAAAATTTTCCAATGGTCCCCCATTGCGAGAAATGTCGATTTTGTCAGATTGCTATAAATAAAAACTATAATTGCCAACAGGTATTAATTTAATGGATTTTGTCTTAAATTCAAATTTAGAAAATAATAACGCAACTGAAAAACCAAACGACATTGAAAAACTTATAAATTTCTACATTCCTCATAAACTCGAGGATCATGCCTCCAGGGAAGGCCGACGTAATTTATCTAGACAATTTCAAAATATGGTGTAATGAAATAAAATAGATGGGGTATTTAATGAGACAACTTTACAAGATAAAATTATATGAAACTTAAAAAAAAGTAATAGAAAGCTAGATCGGATTTATATGGGGAAAAAAGAATCTGCAGCTCGACGTTATCGAAGAGAAAAAAAATCGGACGTAAAGCACTACGATGGAGAACAATGCAGATGATCGACGACTTGTGCGAAAGTATTGAGAATTCAAAGGACATAAAGGACACAGGTGATTTAATATAGTTTTTTCATAGAAGTTAAAAGCAGATTATAAAAGAGAATTTTTCACATTAATTCTTCCCAAGTCGAAATGTACATTATGTAATTTCAAGAACGTGCATTTAGTGCACCCCTAAATTATTGCCTTCATAATCGCAATAAGTGGTCATACCATTGAATTAAACTTTCTGACTATAAATTGTCTTAGGAAAATAAAAAAAAGAAATGTTAATAAGACAAGCTGTAATTGTGCATAACTGTAGTAAATTTGAATATAGAATGGATAATGCTAATTCGAAAGTTGCTTGTTTTTTAACTTCCCTTAGTGTAAAAAATCGAAATTTTTTATATATCTACGTTTCAAAGGTGTTTGAGCATTTTAGCATACCTTAAAAAAATGATGTATGTGTGTGTGTGCGCGCACGTCTGTGTATGTATGCATGTGCGGAATTTTTCGTCGACGATTTCGAGAACACGGATTGGTCGATTCGAGTGATTCATAAAGCATTCGTTTGTTATAGATAAGGAGACGTGGTGATTAGTTTATGGCAAAAGCAGGTCTAGCCGTTTCGAAGGTAAGGAGCAAAAAGTGCCAAAAATGGTAATTAAATTTTTGAGAGAAAGAAGCGTCTGATTTGAATAATTCAAAACCGTCCAGGTATTTGATATTTCGTTTCTACGCAACTAACGTATCGCAATTGCTTGCTGAAACAAAGTTAGAAATTTCCAAAAAAATTTTAATGTATAAAAAAATTCAAATCTTTAAAAAAGGTCATTTCCTCCAAAAAATTTAAAACTCTCAATAATCAATTTTTTATATTAAAAATTATGATTTTTGCTACGGGAGGTTCTAGCAATTCGCCTCAAGGCACGATGCCATGCACCACAAGTTATGTTTTAATTCTGCGAAACATATGAGAAAAAGTGAAACCGTTCCAGAAGAAGAAAACAAGAACGAGGGATAGCAAGCCCCAGTTTCTGGTAAAGATCCCAACTTCGGCCAGATCGATATCAAGCAGCATGATTTGAAAATATCACTTGCAGATTCAGATCTTAAGTGAAAATCGCTATTGGTGGACATTTCTGCATAAAAATATGAATCCAAAAAATACCGTTAAATACAATAATAATAACTATCCGATCTCTCTTATCTATACCTGGTATAGATAGGGGAGATCGGACACTCCGTTATCTCAAAAACGGAATTATTATTATTAGCATTTTTTCCATGTATCTTCAAAACTACTGGACATGCCTTAGCCTTAGAAACTAAACAAGCACGTCTCCCCGTCAATGCGAATCGAATGTTTTTCAAATTATTAAAATCCGTGTTCACGAAATCATCAACGAAACTTAATATCGGCGCATACATATACACGCACATTTTTTTCTAAGACATGCCAAAATGTTCAGAAACCTTTGAAACGTGAAAATATCGAACTTTTTAATTTCATTTAGTCTATAAGATATTAAAAAAAACGTAAAACATTACTTTCATAATAATCATGTGCATTGAAACAGAAACTGAAGTAACTCTATTGTCAGTGATAGTAGCACAATTAAATACAACTTATTTTTATTATTAATCAACAAAAAAATAAACTTGCTTTAATATTCGTTCTCTATTTCGAGTTGAACCTTTATGTAGTCACATGAGGCTTGTACCATCATCAAAAAAATATTGATTAATGGATGGCTTTTTGATATTACATCCCTCTTTCCGTTCTGGCATAGAAGAAAAAACAATCTGGTTGCTGTGTGTGCGCTGACGGGATTACTTCTGCGCATACGAATAATATATTGCTGACTACTTCCACAAAAAGTGTATTCACATGTTTTTTTTCCAAGCACATGTGCTCATTTATTAACTTACATAGTGGAATAAAAACATTTGTATTAGTTTTTTGCCGTATTTAACATAAATTATCCAAGATGGATACGTTTTCGGTATCGAGTTATAACTTTTGTTTTTTCTTGGAGGGAAGAGGAAGATTTTTTGCGTGTGTCGTGAACCCAATGTTTCAAAAACAGAAAAAAGCTCACTTTTAAAATATATATCTTTACGATTCGAGATGTTCTTATCTGATTATCATATCATAGAGTAAAAGTAAAATTAAATTATACTTACCGAAGGAAAAGTTTGTTTCCATAAAAAAATCCGATGCGCTAATTTTATGTTTTCTCGGCGTTTCAAGCCATTCTGGATCCAATGAGACCAAATTTGGAAGAAGTAGGAGGACTAGTGTTTATCAATTTTGCACGACGTTCAGCCAAATCGTTTCTCTGTAAATAGCAGAAAAGTGTAAAAAATTTCGTCCACGTTTTAGCTCTCAATCCTAAATCAATTTTGAAAAATCAAAAACTGAAAATAATACTGATTAGTTTTGGATAAAAAACTACCGGATCGTTTTCCTCTGAATTAACTGTTGAAAAAAATATTTTGGCCGACAGATATCATGGTCTTATAAAGTGTTACGGCCCTACGACAAATAGTTTAATTTTAAAAATATTATAGTAAAAATTTATTTTTGTGATGTGATGAGTCAAACATAATAAATTCATTAAAATTTAATAAATAAAATAAAGCTACAATTTTTAGGCATACAAGCGCGTGTTGGTGCAATATAATTAATATAATTACAGCTAATTCAAATGTGTTTGAGAAAATTCTATTCGAAATAGCAATATTTAGATTTAATTGAAAGCGATAAGTTTATTTTTGAAATAACCAGTTGAAAATTTTATCGAAATATCTAAATTTCGATTGATTAAGTCAATTCTTACACATTTCGGTAAGTTTGTGCAACACGCCTTAAGGCTAAATGCCACTTTCAACTAGTTAATTAATTAATTCAAACAGAAATGTATAAAAAAGTACCAAATATCTAGAAATAATCTGAAAATTAAAGTAATCATACGATGATGAAATCATTTTTGAAATAAAGTGTCAACATTCTCAAAGACTTTTCAAATAATTAAAATTCTCAGAATCATATTTCGATAAGTTTCAATTTTTTCAAAATTGTGATTATTGTCATATATCGAAATTTAATTTTAATTTTTAATGGCTTTCAACCGGGTAGTTATTAAGCTTTACGTTACATAGTCAATAGTTTTGCATAGTTACATATAATAATATATAAATAATAGTCAAACCAAAGACAGGTCCATAGTATGAGAGCACCACAAAATCGATGTTTTCCTTTCTCTCCCTTGTTCAATATACCCATTACTATTTTCATTAATCAATTTTATACCATTTTATTCATTTTCCTTCCCATACTTTTTGCATGCTACCTGGTCCTGTACTTCGACTTTCAGTTTCCTGTATTTTTTCTCCTCGCGTAAGTCAACAATCATCTGCATTCTTCTTCTATCCCCTTCTTTAGAAGACACATTTTGCAGAATGGGTCTGATTTGCTTTCTTCGGTGCTCATTGTCAATAAAGTTACTTTTTCGCCCATTCTTCTAAGGACATCTTTATTTGTTACCTTTTTTATCTTCGTCTCCAGCACCAAATTTCAAAACACTCCAGATTTTATCGGTCTTTCTTAGAGTCCATATCTCTGATCCATAAAAAAGCACACTTCGTTTAGTTATTTTATTCATTTAATGTTCGTTTACAAAACGTGAAGTTTTAGCAATTCACCTAAAGCACGATGTCATACTTCAATTTTATTCAACTGATGCCTGCAAGTATACTTTTTTTATAATCCCTATGACATACCCAATTCTAAATATGCTCACAATATTTTCTTTGCGTATTACTCCTTCAAAAATATCTTTCATATGCAAAGGATGACAGTTTTTATTTGAAACTGAAACAAAGCAAGAGGGCGAGTCGTGTAGTGAAATTCAACTTTAAATTAATTCTTATGCAACGGAAAGCTCTGCCACTTGCAGCGGGCACTTTGTCGTTCCGCATATCAAAAAGTAATCGCTTATGCTTTTGAATTCGAAAAATATAGGAAGTTATCTTAGAATTGCTCACTTTGGTGTTTAATAGTTCTAGGAGGATAAATCTCATTCCGATGTGACTATTTGGAATTTACAAGATTGGTTGCAAATTAGATATTAAAGTCGACAGTAATTACACTTCTATTTGTAGAAGATTCAAATCCAAATTACTTATTGATAGCATGTTGTCGTAAGAGTGACGGAACTTGATTCAGGGGTCCCAAGTTCGATACCTACTTCGAGCAGCCTGTTGTCAGGCAGAAGTGACAACCATTTTTACTTGGAAACATAGATAGCAATATGTTTCCAAGTGAAAACAGCCCTTATCCGGCATTGCTGCACCGATAAAAATACTCGCCCTATTACAGAAATTGTAATAACAATATATCATTCAGAGATGTGACTACTGATTGGATTGTCATCCGTCAAAGAGACTAGTATTAAGTCAAATCAGCACAACAGCTTATATAACTATTAGGTTCTGATTGCTATTCAAGAATAATTAAAAATAGAAAAAAAATGTTGAGATAAATTCCAGGTATTATGAAGTCTAATAGACCTAATCTTGAACTTAGGTTGTAAGATTACTATTCGCTTACTAAAAGATAAAAGAAGTCAATGCGGGCGTGAATTTGATTTAGGAAGAAACTAAGAATTCTTTTGATATACATATTGATAAAGAAACCAACAATTGATATTTTAATGTTAATTACATCTTATAAGAAAATCGTCACATTGGAGGAATGGTTAACCAATGGGTGGTTAACCAATTTATACCAAAATTTTATTTGCTTTTCAAATACCGAAAACCACATCAGACTTCAACGTTATTAAAAATATTTAGGTACTTGCACAAAGAAAAACAAATATATTACTTATATTACTTATAGTTTTTGTACAATATTGTCATTTTTAAAAATTGGTAAACTTACGTATTTGCTAATTCCATGAAATTCTACCCTATATATAAATGTCGACATACACATGTGATATTACATACAAACTAAGACAAAATACAAAATATTAATTTGAACTTGAAAATTCAGATTTTAACCATATAAAAAAATAATAATATTCTTAGAAATAAGGATATCCTTAATATTAATTATCTTTACATAGCAATGATTTATTTGTTTATTATTCGTTCCAACAAAATTATGAAAAGCGACTGGAGTTTCTTTTGACATCTAATTTAAAATCGATATAACAAACTCCTAATGGCAACGATCAAAGAAAATCATACATTTCAAAAGAGAAAAAGGAGGAACAAGTTTATTAATTAATTGTGTTTTATTTGCATTCGATTCAAAATGGGTCTATCTGTTGATATAACAAACATTTATCTGTGTACATATATATATATATATATATATATATATATATATATATATATATATATATATATATATATATATATATATATATATATATATATTAGAGTGGTCCTTAATATAGACATTTTCGAATTTTCTTGCTCCCAAGGGCTCAAATGGTTCCAAATTGATAAAAAACAATTCTCTGGTTTAATGTTGTAACAATGTTTAATTTTCAAAAAAAATTTCATGCTATTTCCATGCAAAGTTTGATTGAATTGCTCACTATCTAAAATTTAATATTAAGAGCTAAAACTTTCAGAGAAACTATTTGAGCCCTTGGAAGCAAGGAAATTCGAAAATGTCCATATTAAAGTCCACCCTGATATATATATATATATATATATATATATATATATATATATATATACATATTCGTGTATTAAGAATTGCTGCTTGTTATTCTTTCAAAAACTCGAGTACATCAGAAATGATTTGACCTATTTTATTAACCATGAATATGAATATGATGGTAGTTCAGGGAAAGTAAAAGGTCAGAATTTTTTAGCTAAATTAATATTTAACACTTTCAAATGTACAACCATTTTGGCAGTGAAAATTATGAAAAGGTGGAGCCTCGTGGCGAAGTCGTTGGCACGTGGGTCTGCCACCCCAATATCAAGCAGTAGCAATAATAATAAACTGTCCTTCCAAAGCTATAATAAAAAGCCAGCCCTATTAGATAAATTCTAATAAAAATGAATTAAATATTAATGGATCTATCTGAATTGTTGATTTACCATCTAAAAATACAAGACAAGAAAAAGATTCAGCCCAACAGCTTATAGAACATAAAGTTCTAATTTCTATTGAAGAAAACAAAAACAATATTCCTACTGTAAAATCTGTTATCAATAAGATTTTTTGGGCAATTTTAGGTAAAGTAATCGATTATACTAATGTTCCTTGTTAATTCTAAGAAACCAAGACAAACTTCGTGTGAAGTGAAGTACCTAAAGTCGATGTGAAGTATAATAGTTACTACTAAGTAAATAAATATCACGAAGTTCACCGGATCACCTAGGATTGAACATGTTTTCACCTAGAAGCAATTTTTCACGTGCATCTAAATATTTAAACAATTTTATATATTGCAACATATAAAATACGCTGTGACGTGTACTTATAGTAGAATGTCAAAAAGCGCGCACTCGTTCTGTGACATACAGCCGACTGTCAACTGAGCTTCATTTTTATTCCGCCCGTTTTACTAAAGCTGACAACAGCTTACACTAAAGTACACCAGCATTTTTCAATTTCTCGTATTCTCTATAAGAAATTATAAATAGGAAAACTTCGGGAAAAAACATTACGATATAGCAACTTGTGAGGAAAATGATTTTGCATACCGGATTCTATGGCCCTGACTTCAGCAGTTGGCTTTGCTATTTCACGTTGCATCGCATTCGGATGCATGCGAATATTTTTGTAGAGGTATATTTACTTTGAATAGGATTTCCGTGCAGCCTTTGAATAAGCAAAAAAAAAAATTTGCGATTTCGACAGTATCAGAATATTCACTTAAAATAAAGATCAAATCTTTAAGTTGCGGATTTCACATATGAAGAATCCTGGCTTAAGTATTAAATTTGAAATTAATCATTATGATAAAGCCAATTTATCAGTAAGAAGTTCAATAACATTGCATATAATTTGCAAAACTCAAAGCTGCTAATTAACATATTTGACAAAGATTTCTGCAGGTTTCTTAATGACAGGACATCATCAGGATTAATAAGGAGAAGCTAGAACATTCCACTCTGTACAAGTTAAATCAAAATTGCTACTTATCATATAATCCAAGATTTTGCAAATCAAACTTAATGAAAAGGTTTAAATATCAACTATAAAATCCAATTATAAAATCCATCTTTATCTTTGAATAACATTGAGGAGCCAAAAAGTCTTTCCAGAGTCTAGATCTTAAGCTAAAGCATAAAGCTTCCAAGAAAA